CTGTGTGGTTTGAAAGACAGAATTCTGACCTGAAAGAAGTGGAAATGTTGGCACTTAAATTTAACCGCTGTTTGAAGAAAGTTTTTTTTTTTTTTTTTTGCTGTTTGAAGAAATTTTTTTTTTTTTTTTTTACGCATTGGTGGATAATAATTTCAGATTAATTGACAGGAAAGTGTCGGCGGGGAAAGGGACATGGATCAGAGCGCAGGTAAATGACACTGTGGTTAATGGGATCTTTGACATGATTAAACAGTCCTCTGAGCTGTTGACTTTAAACGTGAAGACGTCTGCTGCATTCAGATCCAAACTAAAACAAAAAGCATCAGTGTCAGCTAGTACACTAATGCAAATAGTCAGGACCACCCTACTGGAACTGTTTCCGTTTCCACTCTGATTGAAAAGACACTCTACCTTCAGGATGGGAACACTGACAAATCACTGGCTCTGCTGAGGACGCACAGAGTAGATGAAGTTGGATCTGAGCCAAATCCAGTGACAGTTCATAATTGATTACACTTTTATCTCAGGGCCCGGGATTATACGCAGCTCATATACCATCCATCTTAAGGTTTTTGTGTGTGGAAAAGGCCACTGACAAAAAGGCAGCCAATCACAGCAGACTCTGCTGTTCACACCAGCGGTTATGCTAACAGCTTTAAAACTATGTCTATAAATTACATTAAGAAGAAGGAAACGACTTCTCCTACCAGATACTTTCTACCTTCATCTCAGTTTATTTCTTTATGGCACACAACACGTGGCTCCGCCTGAGTCCGAGGACAGCGGCCAAACTGAGCATCATTAATGAAAATCCAACTGCCCTTTCTTTCAGGCTGAATTCCTTTGCATTCAATTTGTTTAACTGCTGTCTTACAACTTCTGTCCTCTACGTTCCACATTTTAAGCTGCAGACTGTTCCACAAAGTCAGAGTGAAAGTCATCAGTGAGTCCAAACTGTTAAAGGCCAGGATCGACTCAGGTTGTTTTGAAGCCTACGTAACAATGCAGTGGATTTCTGTAGCTTGTGTTTTTATGATTTTTCAGTTTAAGGGTTTATCACTAGAATAATTTGTCATAAACATACATCTCATCAAACTTAGGATTTCTTTTCTGTAAAATAGGTTCATATAAACCAATCAATCCTGTTAACAAAAGCCCAAAGAGAAAATGAACATTTTTACCTCAGAGAAATTCTGCAGTCATTCACCTATAATGACTTTGTTTAGTGAGTCATTTGGGTAAAAATCAAATCAAAACTTCGTGGATGTTAATGTCTCAAAACAAAAATCACTAATTTTCACTATAGGGTTTAGTGTAGGGGGGATGAAAAGTTGAAGTAAAATCCATCTAAATGATGAGACAAAAAGACAAACATTCTTTAAAAGTTGTAGAATTTGAACATCATGTTCTAACTAGAACTTTTCTGAAGGCCAGCCAGTAAAAGTACGGCTACACAGAGACGCAGTTTGAACTTTCTCTGACCAGCTGGTTATGGGTTACAACCAGGGCTGTCAAAATAACCCTGGGGACATTGATCGATTATTTGTTAAATATATCAGAGTTCAAATTTCCACATATTTTAACGCAAAGGCAGAAGGACGTGCTGTGTCATGTCATGGGAAGAAGCCAACATCTTAACATCCCATCATCAACTCCCAGTACGTGTTCGTGGGTGTTTCAACCTGAGGTCAGTGGCCCGGCTTGTGTCAGAGCAGAATGACTAATATTGGGACAGTGAGTCAGTCTACAACTGACAGTCTGACTGACACAACAGTCAGATGGATTGTCCACGACCGCAGACTCATTAGTATCGTTTAGGAGAGCGACTGGACTGAAGTTTAGAAAGAAACTCTCCACACGATGAACGGGAATGACAGAAATACACCAACTCTATGAAGAGACATTTTCACTGAGACTGTTTAAGATTTGTATGGACATTTTTACATGTAAATACTTCCACCATTCCACAGATAAAACAAAGTGAGAAACACTGACATCTACCTGCTGTTGATGGTACTGTGCGTTCCAGAGATATACAGTACAGAAATGACAAAAAAGTATTTCCTAACATTGTAATAGTGAAATACACATTTACAGCTGTACTACTAAATAAACGTGGGTTTATTGGGGCAGTACAGCTACTCAATAAGTATCTGTACTACTTACAGTACTCTGGTGGGCCAAAGCAGATTCTGCCATTTCATTTAAATGGTCTGTATTTGTATTGTACTTGATGTAGCCTCGTAGCCTCTACCTACTGACACCAAGGATGCAGGCGTGTGTGACAATTAACCTATCAAGTGCAGAACCATCCACCTGAGCAACAGTCAAAAACATTTTTTTTTTTCTTTCAAAAAAATCTGGACATGGATTCGACAATGAGACTGAATGACCAATGTCTTTTTTTAACACCAATGAGGACATCCACTTGGTGGCCTACACTGTATGGTGGAAAACAAAGCCTAACAGGACAGTTGGGTCCTACCTTCCCTGATGCTGATGCTCCTTGTTCCACTGAGAACCTGCAGAGACACAGATCATCCAATTATTAGTTTGATTTGTGTCTTACATCACAACAACAGCGTTGAGATTTCAGCACATTTCTAGAACAATGTGACCCCCCCCCCCCCCCCACCCCCCCCCCCCTTGTTCGGGGCCCCCAGGCA